TTATTATTTTAGAGGGAGAATTTGTGCAGAATTCTCTCTATGTCTCTTTTTTTTTTTTTTTTTTTTTCTACTAAAACTGGTAGAACCCACCAGTGTAGGATTTTTGACCTGGAGTTTTCATCGTAGGAAGATTTTTAACTATGACTTAATTTTCTTTTATAGATTTAGGGCGATGCAGGTTATCTATTTTTTCTTGAGGTTTGGTAGTTTTCACATTTCAAGGAATTTGTCAATTTTGTCGATGTTGTCATGTTTATTCACATAAATTTTATATTACCTAGTATTTTTAAGTATCTGTAGAATCAGAAATAATGTCACATTACTCATTTTCAAGGCTACTAATTTGTAGCTTTTTCTTTTCATGAGCTGGTTTGGCTAGACAGAGGTTGATTACTTTTATTGATCCCCTCAAAGTGTTTGATATTGTTGAACTTTTCTTCTGTTTTTGTGTTTTATTAGTTCCATCTCTGATGTTTTAGTTCTCTTGGCATATTATTTAAAAATCCATAGTTGGGAGCTTATCAGTGCCATAAATTGATTCTCATAATTTTGGAAGCAGCACAATTTAAGATAAAGGTATCATCAGATTTGATGTCTGAAGTTGTACCAATTCATGATTCATATCATTATTTTTTCCCTGTGTCCTCACATGGAAGAAAGGGTAAAGAGGCTCTCTGGGGTTACTTTCACCAGAACATTAATACATTTATAAAGGCTTGGCCCTCATGACCTAATCACATCCCAAAACTCCTACCTCCTAATAACACCACTTCTGTGATTTGATTTTAGCATATGAAATTTGGAAGAACACAAACATTCAAATCAATGCAGACATTTATTGTTTCTCTCCTCTGCTTCCTTTGAATTTCCTTTCCTCTTCTTGTTTTCTAGTTTCTTAAGGTAAAAGTCAAAGTGATTTATTTGAGAGTATTGTAATGTTGACATTCAGTACTGAAAACTTTTATTTAAGCATTGTTTCAGATGCATTTTGCAACTTCTAATGTGTTTTCATTTTCAGTTAGTTCAAAATAATTTCTAATTTCATTTTTATTCTTTTCTTAATCAACCCAGTGTTATTTGGATGTATGCTAATTTCCAATATTTGAGTTTTTTAGGTACATTTTTGTTATTCATTTTTAAATTGATAGCTTTTGGGTCAGGGAACATGTTTTGTGTGACTTAAATCCTTCTTAATCTTTTTATTAAGATATGATCTAGAGTATAGTATTTGAGTACTTCTGAAGAATGGTGTTATTTAAGTCTACCATAGTCTTGCTGATTTTCTGCCTCCTTATTCTACCACTTGAGTAACAATTTTAGAAATTTCAGACTATAGTTGGGCATTTGTCTACTTCTTTTGCAGTTCTATCTATTTTTGTACCAAGTGTTTTGAAGCATTTACATAAATATGTACACAAGTATTTATGACTCATATTTTCTTGATTAATTGAACCCTTTGTCACTGCACAATGACCCTATTTATTACTGGTAATATTTTTGCTATGAATCGTCCTTTGATATTAGTACAGCCACTCTTCCTCAGCCTTCTTTTATCACTTGTTAGTGTGGTATATGTTGTTTCATCCTTTAACCAATTTCTTAATTGATATTTAAAGTTTATTTCTTATAGGCAGTATACAAGTAGGTCTTGCTCTTTTATCTATTCTGACAATCTGCCTTTAAGCAGAAGTTTTAAGACCAGTTTAATTTATAATGTAATTATTGATAGGGTAAGAGTTGTCTGTTATCATGCTGTTTGATATCTATTAGTCCCAGATCTTCTTTGTGTTTCTTTTTTATTTCTGCTTCCTTCAGACGAGTTTAGTAAATTTTATTATTTAGTTTTATTTACATATATATATATATATGTAATATTTTTAGTGATTGATCTAGTTTTATATTTATTTGATTTACTCATATCTTTTTTGTTATAAGTTTGGTTATTTAGTGGTCTGCTGTCTTAGTGGTTGCTTTGAGATTTAAGGGATATGAAGTTACCTCATCATAGCCTGCCCTCAAGCAATATTATACCATATTGTAGATGGTATGAGAAATTACAATTGAATATTTTCATTTCTTCCAGCCAGATCGCACCCTGGATCTGTGAAACTATAACTTTTGTTAAGTATAGAACACATTTAGCCAATTTGTCCTCAAATTTTTGTTTCTGTCTCTCCTCCGACCACTCTGGGGACTTATGTATTACCTGCTAGAAGTTTGCTGATAGTTTATTAATGTCTCAAATTTGTGAATATTTACTTTCATGATGGCGAATCAATCTGTGCTCGTTTCTACTCAGTGTGGCTTTCATCTGCAGCATTGTAACTTGTATCTCTACAAGTACAATTTGGTTTTTAAAAGTATCTTCTATTGCTCTACTTGTCTTCTTGATTTTTATTGTAAAATAGAGTTGAATTACTTATAAACAGTTTGATCCTCTTCATTTTGCTTTTTGTGGCATGAGCTAACTCCCCATACCTGAGGCAAGGCTTTTCTGATTATTCATTTTCCTGTGAAGTCTGAGTCTTCCCATGCAAATCTATAAAAATAGGCACTCTTCTAGACACTGTGTGAGCAACAGGTGTGATTTCCTCTTATTTTATAAGTCCCCCCCAACCACTTGGTCTTAGGCAGTTTCTAGCTCACATGCAATCTTCATTATTTTGCCAAATACTGGGAGGGAGTTTCAATGGGTTTCTTGCCGTTGCTTCTGTATCTCCCTCTCCTACTCAGTGTTCTGTTTCATAATGTCTGTCTGCTTTGGTTTTACCAGACTCTAAGCTTCATCACTGTAACCAGGAGAGTCTGATAGATCCCACCTCAGTTTTTCTTCCTGTGTCATATCTTGGAATCTCTGTCAAGGCAGGAAGCTGAAGCACTCATAAGGCTTGCTTTCCTTTTTTTCTGTTTTTATTTGGTTTTGTTTTTGTTTTTTTTTTGTTTTGTTTTGTTTTCAGGGATTATTGTCTTCTTTCCCTAATGTCAACTGTCTGAAAAATCATTTAATGTATTTTGTGTGTTTTGCTTTTAGTTGGTTTAGCTAAGAAGAAAGCTAAGTACCTGTTGTTCTCTCTTGGCCACAGGCAGACTACATTAGAGCTTCAGCACATGCCACAGACTGGCTAAAATGCTTTCTTTCCCTGTTTGCTCAACTGCTTCCCTTTCAATCTTCATTCTTCAGTGTAGCTATACATTCCTTGGGGTAATTTTCCATGGGCCTAGAATAAATTTAATTCTTAGCAAACTGTTTTCTTACAGTATCTATATGAATTTATAATTTTCACTTTTCTGGGGCTTTGTTTTTCAGTACATTTTAAGCTAAAAAAGAGGAAAGCTTTTTTTTGTTGATGTTGTTTTCTGTTTAATCTGCAGATCTTAGTATAATGCCTTCCACATGGTAGGCAATCAATATATATTTTTTCAGTGTATGAATTAGTGAATGTTAAAATTTACAGACCTTTATATCCCAAAAGTACTATTTTATTTCTGTCTCCTCCTTGAGACAGATTCACCTAACCTATCAAAAATCTTGATTGCAGTGCCTTCTTGTAAAAGAGCAAAGGAACTTAAAACATATCATTGTAAACAACTTATAGAACAAATCAAACAAATGAAAAAGAAGTTTCGTCAACTACAAGAGGAAATATCAGAAGCAAAAGAAATAAAATCACAGTTAGAGAATGAAAAAGTTAAATGGCAGCAAGAGCTCTGCAGTGTGAGGTATGACATCCTACTTTTAAATAAATATTTCCACTATTTATACTAAAAGTAAGTAGGATATCTTTTGTACTAGTTGACTGAGGTTTAACTGGGAAAAATATCTCTGCCTTATAGAGTGTCAAATAAAATTCTTCACTGTGAATACTTCTACTGATAATTAAATGCATATGTATTGAAATCAGAATTTTAATAGCTATATAGAAGGCCATTATCATTATTTACTTAACCAAATAATTTCTTTTATTTTTAATTTGTTGTATTATAATAAGTGCTGCAAAGCACAACTGCATATCAATATTCTTCTAAATCTCTAATTATTGATGGAATATTCTTCAATATAAAAATATTTGGTTAAATTATAGGTTTTTAAGAAGTTCTTTGTTCATTACCTCTAAATTGTTCTCAAGAAAATTTATATTCATTTACAAAAAAAGAGAGTCTGAAACAGCCATTCTTTGCCCCCCAAGAATCATTTTCCTTTAATTATACAATTTTAATCTTAATATGCATGGAGTATAAAGGAAAATATAGGGTAATTTCTGATTAGTTTATTCAACAACCCATTATTGCTTCCATAAATAAAATTAATTCAGAGTTCTATGTTAAAAATACGTATTTTTATTGTTTAATTAAATATTTTCCGTTTTATTCTAAAAGATTTAAAATTTGTTGATAAAATATATAATAACAAGATACATTTAAAGTATTACTCATAAAAGAAGCAAAAGTTATATGGAATAACAGATATTAGACCCTTTAGCCTCATCTCAGATTTTATATTAAAGTTATTTTCAGGGATTCTGGCCATATTTTATTTTTTTATTTTTGTTTTCCCATTTATTTATTTTATTGCATTTTAGGTTTTGCGGTACATGTGAAGAAAATGCAAGATTGTTGCATAGGTACACACATGGCAGTGTGATTTGCTGCCTTCCTCTCCATCACCTACATCTGGCTTCTCTCCCCTTGCTATCTCTCCGCAGCTTCCCACCCTCTGCTGTCCCTCCTCTATTTCCCCCCAACTGACCCCAGTGTGTAGTGCTCCCCTCTCTGTGTCCATGCATTCGCATTGTTCAACAACCACCTATGAGTGAGAACATGCGGTGTTTGATCTTCTGCTCTTCTGTCAGTTTGCTGAGAATGATGATTTCCAGGTCCATCCATGTCCCTACAAAGGACACAAACTCATCATTTTTGATGGCTGAATAATATTCCATGGTGTATATATGCCACATTTTCCCTATCCAGTCTATCGTCGATGGGCATTTGGGTTGGCTCCACGTCGTTGCTATTGTAAACAGTGCTGCAATGAACATTCGTGTGCACGTGTCCTTATAGTAGAACGATTTGTAATCCTTTGGATATCTACCCAGTAATGGGATTGCTGGGTCAAATGGAATTTCCATTTCTACGTCCTTGAGGAATCGCCACACTGTCTTCCACAATGGCTGAATTAATTTACACCCCCACCAACAGTGTGAAAGTGTTCCTATTTCTCCACATCCTCTGCAGCATCTGTTGTCTCCAGAT